AATATAGTAGTAGAATAAGTTCTAATACCTAATTAGATAAAAGAAAATTCTTTTAGATTATATACTATTACTTAGATTTTATTTAGAGATATATATACTAGCTTAAGTAGGAGTATTAAATAGTATAGTCTAGATAGATAGGCTAGAATAGATACCTAAAGTATAAATACTAAGAGTTATATAACTAAGAGGAGCTTATCTTACTTTAGTTCTCCTACTTCCTATAACTAACTAATATAATTATAACTAGGTTAGTTCCTACTATTATTTATTAATTTAGTTACTTCTACTATATTTAATACCTATATAAACCCTATAGAGTAGTTTTAGCTTAGTAGTTTTACCTATTTAATCTATATAGCTTTTATAACTTCCTCTTTTATCGTAGAGAAGTACTAGCTAATCCTATACTTTAAAAGACTCTATATATTTTTAATTAGATTAAGATCTAGTAAGTTAGCTAGCTAGTAAAGGAGCTTAATATCTAGATCTTTAAAGAGTAAAATTATAGCTTTTACTTTATAGATTAATACGTTATTTTATATAATAATTATAGACTACTAAAAGAGTAACTAGCTCTTTTAAAAATAAACTCTTTTATAGATAAAGAGAATAATCTATTACCTATAGATATCTCTAGTTACTTTCCTTTTATTAAAGATATAGTATTCCCCTAGCCTAGCTACTAATATCTACTTTTATATTATATAGGCTAAGTATTTACGGAAGCGTAATATAAAGTAGTCGTTATTAAAAGCCTCTTAAGTAGTCCTTATAACGTAGACTTATCTAAAGTAGCTATATTAGATTAAAGCTTTATTAGTCTATATAACTTTTATCTACTACCTATCTATCTAGTTTATATACTTATACGCCTATTATAGTTTTACTTATTTTTACTTTTTAGTAAAAAATAGTTTCCTCGTTACTATATATCGTATATAACCCTCCTTTTTAAATATAGTTCGAAGTATCTAGATATCTTATAATATACTTTTAAGTTTAGTAATCTAATTAAATCTAAGCCGTTTTAAGTATATATTAGCTATAGCTCTATTTATAAGCTATCGTCGTATTTAAGTAGATATTATAGGAGGGCGTCTACGACGCTATAGTATATATAGAGATTCTTATTAATAAAATACTAGGACTCGTAATATTATCCTTTTATTAGAGCTAAGGATATCTATAATACGTTATAGTAGCTAGCTAGCGTATCTATAAAGAGCCTAGATAATACCCTTCTTAAAAGCTATAAATGTAGCACCCCGAGCTATTATTATATTAAGATATAAGGATATAAAGGAGACAGTGTCAAGACGCGTCTGTTTGTTAATATAGCCGAGAATGGTATAGTGTTAGCAGTCAGGCTAGCAGGGGTTGCTAACGTTTGTGCTGGGGACTGTATACCAGCCGTAGCCAGCAATTTAGACGATCCCCTTCCATCTGAGCATCAAAGGGGCGGCCATGGCACCTTTTCAATACCGCAGCAACATGAAGATGGTGCTTGTTGACTCGTGGCACAAGCAGTCTGACGTGGAAGCGAGGGATGATGTTGAACGGGTAGTGAAGATCGTCAATTCGATGCATGCGCCTGATGATGTATCTTTGCGTCGGTGCGGTTACCACAGTCGACATCGCTACGCGAATTGATTTGCAGACATCTCGGTGCCGAAGAGTCCCCTTCTCTGAATGGTTCTGGCATCCTTCCACGCACACCCCTTCATCAACTTTCAACGCGAATGGCGCTTTCTGCCATGCGTGTGCGGCGCGTAGCGGCTCGACATCGGCACAGTCGGACTCACTGAGACCGAGAAATGGCTACTGAATGGTCACCATCACCAGCCAAGGCCACCAACGTGCCAGAGTCGAGTCGGCTTGCGTTGAAATGTCGGTTCGCATGAACGTGCCGCTGTCCAAGGGTGCATACCGCACGTGCTGACCATGCATCTCTTGCAGCCTTGCACGCGAGTCCCACTTTACGCCCCTACACCACCATGAGATTGGTGCACAGCATGCGAAGTCTGCAGCAATTAAACCGCGAAGGGATTGGACGGTAATTGGGGCGAATTCTCAACCAGTGCTCGAAAGTGCTCTCAGCCTTTCAGAGCTTTGCGCAACCCCTTCTTCAAAGCCAATCGCCCGCGCGAGAGAGACGGCCTCCTTGTACTGGCGTTTCGCGAGGTCTGTATCCTTGGCCATTTCTGCGAACTCGCCGAGGTTGTGAAGGGCCACGGCGCAGCCAACATCACATTCCTCTGTCCTAAGTGGGGGTTTGATGGTTCCTGCCACCTCAAGTGCTTTCTGTGCCCACGTTCTCGCGTTCTCTAGCATGGTCTCCTTTGTCGCTGCTGGTCCGCTAGGTCTTGTGTTGACGTTCTGGGATGTTGCATAAGCTTGAGCTTCGCGTGCCATGCGAGGAGACTGTTGAGCCAGACTGGAGGCGAGGTTGTTCATCAACACAACTGAATGGCAGTCTTTGGTCGGATGGAGGGTAAGAGCCTGCAAGAAGAGCGGCGTTGCGAGGTAGTGCTGGTCCTTGGCCTCGTAGCTATGTGCGAGCGACTCGAGGGTGGCACCGATCTCCTCGTCGTTCATCCAAGGCCCCTCCTCCTCCTCCTTGACCTTTGCACTCTCTCTTCGTTGCTTCTCCTTCAGAACGGTTTCAACGGCCCAGATCAGCCTCTCTTGGGCCATTTCCCGGTCCCAGACTTCTGGCGTGCCGTACAACTCTCCCAGTTTGACAGACACGCCTACAGTCTTCCCCAGAACCTTTGTCCTTCTTTCCTTGTTCTCAGGAAGATTGCCAAACTTCTCCAGCCACAACAGGTTGGAACCACGAACAGCCTCGAGGATCTGTATAGCGTTGGGATACTGCTGAATGTCTTCCATCAACTTGGCTACCTGAATCTTGACTCCCATGATCTCATCGCCAACTGGATCCATGCCAATCTCAGAAGCAACCTGCAGTGCCTGCTTGTAGTACTTGAGCGCCTCTTGTGGATTCAAGTCGTAGTTTGTGTAGTAGAGCGCCCTCCGTAGCTTTCTAGCAACCTCTTCGGGATATTTGTGGAAAGACTTGATGATGTACTCCTGATAGATGATATTCGCATAGACGATCCCTGCCGCTCCCACGATCATAGAGACTACCGCAAGAGAGATGGAGACCGGGTGTTTCTGGAATAGAACGCGAGCATTCTCTGCGAAGCTATTCTTGAAGCGTTTCTGGCCATTGGGAATTGTGTTCGATCGAGTTTGGAATTGGGGTCGCTTCGGTGCAGTGTGTATTCGTCTAGCAGGTTGCAAAATCGTTCTGCACACTTGTCGTACTGGAAGTCCAAGTAATGGTCGCCCAGACATGGTGTCGTTGATGGTATGTGCAGTTTATGGAAGGTGAGGTTCAGAGGTGTAACTTTTGAGTTCGTGATCTTAACCAAATTTTGATGGAGAGCATGGATGACGTCTACGCGCCATCAGCTTCGAGCTCCATTCGCGTTCCCTACCTACCTTACGGCTTGACCGAAGACCATGCACGACCTCGCATACCATCTAACCAGACAATGACAAGATGTGTGGACGGTATGTGCTCTCAATGCGGCCGTCGCAGGTGCGGCAGCATCTAGTAGAGCAGAACATGCCGGTCGAAGAAGCTCCCAGCGATGAGGACGAGCGAGTCCGGACGTCTTGGAACTTCGCCCCAGGATACCATGGCCTGATCTATCGTGCCCAGACCAACAATCGAGGAAGCGGACATGATGGCAACCAGGGCGAAGAAGGGAATGATTCTGGCGAGCCATCACCCAAGAAAAGCAAGCTCTCTCAACCCACGTCTCAGCCAACAGTCGATGGGCTCGCAACCCAAGAGACGAAGTACAAGCTACAGGCTGCCAGATGGGGCCTGATTCCATTCTGGACCAAGCGCCCTCCCGACTATGGCAGCCAAATGCGTACAATCAATTGCAGAGACGACAGCTTGATCGAAGACCGGGGGATGTGGAACACCATGAAGAAGCGGAAACGATGCATTGTGGTAGCAGAAGGATTCTACGAGTGGCTGAAGAAGAACAACGGCAAGGAGAAGATACCACACTTCACGCGGCGGAAAGATGGCCAACTCATGTGCTTCGCTGGACTTTGGGATATGGTTCAATACGAGGGCAGTGAAGAGAAGCTTTATACCTACACAATCATCACCACGGATTCCAATAAACAACTCAAATTCCTTCACGATCGTATGCCTGTCATTCTGGAGCCTGGTAGCGAGGCGATGAAAGCGTGGCTAGACCCTAATTTTGTCGGATGGTCCAAGGAGCTGCAGATTATGCTGAAGCCGTTTCAGGGCGAACTCGAATGTTACCCGGTCGACAAAGCTGTTGGCAAGGTTGGCAACAACAGTCCATCATTTATCGTTCCCATTAACAGCAAGGAGAACAAGAAGAACATTGCGAATTTCTTCGGCACTCAGAGAGCCACCGCGAAAGAGGTTGCTGCGAAGAATGAGGCTGCTCGGAATGATGGAGAGCACAGCAATGTCAAAATCGAACAGCATCCAGACGAGGACCGCAAGACAACCGTCAAAGTCGAAAATACTGAAGACAATGCGCCATTGTCGAAGCCTGAAGACGAGCCCGAGGAAAAGTTGTCTCAGCAGATCAGGAAAGATGCTACTGAAATCAGCGATCAAGACATCATCAATGCAGCTGATGCACAAGTTGAAAGAGGCATCAAGCGCGAAATATCCGAGATCGAAGACGCTGACCTGCTCAAGGCAGCACAGAGCCCTCCAAAGAAGGCTGTCAAGACGGAGAAAGCAACACCATCTCCTGTCAAGAGTTCGCCAAACAAGATCAGTGGCAGTCAGAAGAAGCGCAGTGCTACGTCCAACAATAATGTCGCCAAAACGCCAGCAAAAGGAGGCAATGCCAAAATTACAAGCTTCTTTGGCAAGTGAGCACCACCGCGATGAGGATTGCTTCATCCACAATGACGGCAAGAGTTCAAGAAAGCTGCAATACACTTCGAAGGCTTCACCGATGTTAATCTTGCCAGCCGATATCGTCCTCGATGTTAGCAGTGGGTCTCGGTATTCAATCGCTCGGATCGCGGCATCCAACATGATGAACCGGCCCTTGTCGCCGCCATACGCGGGCCGCTATTTGGAACGCCACCACTCCACTCACATAGTGCCGAAGGTTTCAAGTATATATTTGAAATGCTCGCCTGCAGCTGGATCATACGGTCTAGACAACGCGCTTGCTCGTCAAAGTCTTGGAATCCGTCAATCAGCTTCTTCCGTTCAAAGCATGCCTGAAAACGAACCACCTTCGCCCACGCTGCTCTGGATTTGGGCATACCTCCTGCAATTGTACTTTGCTCGTTTGGGTACTATGGACGAGACGGAGCGCCTGCAACCATGATGTGTCCTGTCACAATACTGTAAACATGAAGCAACGAAATCTCCGACGTCGTCGGTTAACGCTGCGACGCACGAAGAAAGGTGGCACATCTCGTGCTCGATATATAGAGCCAAGCTCTTCCAAGCTCTACCAAGCATCTCTCATCCTTCCTTTCCAAGAGATCTCTTGAGCCTACCAGGACAGCGGTGCTGTGCCTTTACTTCTTCAGTCATTCGTTTCATCTTCTGCGCCAAGAATATCTTGCCGAAGCCACTCCCTTGACCACAAATACACGATGGTTTACCAAAAGACATTGACCGCTCTCCTCCTCGGCGCTGGCGCTGGGTTGATCGATGCCCGTCCAGCTCACGGATGGAACATTGCACGCCACGATCACCATGAACACAAGCCAAAGTCGTTCACTTTCAGCTTCCCTTCCTCGGACCCGACTGGATCGATCGCAAGCATTCCCCTTGGCACTGGTTCTGCCATAGCCCCATCTGGCACAGTCGTTGTCCCTTCTGGCACAGCCATCGCCTCCTCTGCAAGCTCAGCCTCCATCGGCACGACTGAGAAGAAGTCAAACAGCAGCAACTCCTCCGCCAGCACCAGCGTCGCTGCATCGACCGCTGCAACGACCGCTTCCGCTGGTTGCACTTTCACCGATGCTGACTCGGCTATTGCATCCAAGGCGTCGTGCTCCTCCATCGTGCTCAGTGGCATCACTGTCCCGGCTGAAACTACCCTTGATATGACCGACCTCGCCGATGGTACCACTGTGACGTTCGAAGGCACGACGACTTTCGAGTACGCCGAGTGGGAGGGCCCTCTCATCAGCTTCTCTGGGAAGGATATCACCATCACCGGTGCCAGCGGCCACGTCATTGATGGCAATGGTGAGCACGAACATACCACATAGCTTCCCCTGAATCTTACTGACCAATCTCAGGCGCAAAGTGGTGGGACGGTGAGGGCTCGAACGGCGGTGTCACCAAGCCAAAGTTCTTCTATGCCCATTCCCTGACTGATTCGACGATCTCCAACCTCAACATCCAGAACTACCCAGTCCAATGTTTCTCCATCAACGGCGCCGAGAATCTGTCCGTCAAGGATGTGACGATTGACAACTCTGCTGGTGATGAGACCAACTCAGACGGGGACGCCTTGGGCCACAACACGGATGCCTTCGACGTCGGCTCTTCCACCGGCGTCTACATCTCCGGCGCCAACGTCAAGAACCAAGACGACTGCCTCGCCATCAACTCCGGCACCGACATCTCCTTCACAGGCGCCACCTGCTCTGGCGGCCACGGAATCTCCATCGGCTCAGTGGGTGGCCGCGACGACAACGACGTCGCCAACATCTACATCGCCGACTCGACCATCTCCGACTCCCAAAACGGCGTGCGCATCAAGACCGTCTACGATGCCACCGGGTCCGTCAAAAACGTGACGTACACCGGCATTACCTTGTCTGGAATCACCAAGTACGGCATTGTCATTGAGCAGGACTACGAGAATGGCTCGCCGACTGGTACCCCTACCGACGGTGTTCCGATCACGGACCTCACTGTCTCGGACGTCACTGGAAATGTCACGGATGATGCTGAGGAGGTTTATATCCTCTGCGCTAGCGGTGCTTGCAGCGATTGGACTTGGAGCGGTGTGAGCATTACTGGTGGCGAAGCTAGCAGTAAGTGTGAGAATGTACCAAGCGCGGCTTCTTGCTAGAGGACTTGAGCTTGAGTTTGGTGGAAGTAGATGGGTGATGGTGGTTGGATTCATTGTATACTACTTGTTGACCGTTGGTACCGCTCATTGTACGCCACATCAATGGCAGTCTGCGAGTTTAAGCACTTGGTCTCTCAGCGGCTGATGGCACTGTTGGATAAATGTCAATATGAGCATTGCCTCTACCTTTGATCCAAACTTTACTATTGCTGTCAATACTAGCTTCACCCCTGACTTCACTCCTGGCTCTGATTGAGACCTCACTATCAACCTCATTGTGCTTTGGCCCCGAAGTTAGGACGTAGCAGGCTGCACAGAGTTCCTACTGATCATCTTGCGGTGTGATCATGACTTCCTCAACAACGGGCTTGGGGTCTCGATGACTTGATGAGCAGAATGTAAACGAGTGGGAAGATGATTGAGGTCGTTGAATTCACTGTGTAAAGACTGATCTGAGAACATAGAAACACGCTCGTTTGAATTCTCAAACCCTCATGTTGCTCACTTTCCAAGCACATCGATACCGCCGCCGACAGCACTTTGGCATACGTCAGCATACGAGTGTGGTGAGGATATGAAGATAGACTCACTCAGCATGGAACTTGACCGTAATGTCCTTGGTCATCTTGACCTCTTGCGGCTTGAACTCCAGCTCGTCGGGTCGCTCATAGCTGCCACTGTCCCTCTCGAAGCCACGCGCTGACTGGACCGCAATATGCTGATTCCTCGCGAATGAACGGCCACTGTGCGCGTAATAGTTGTTTTCCTAATGAAGCTGTCAGATAGATTCGGCCGTCATGCGAGAAACATAAGCACGTACCGTCAACGATACCGGACGTAGGTTGGTACATCCCAGTATCTCGCAGTAGTCCTTGGCCTTCTCCAAGGCATCCTTGGCGCAATCACGACGAAGCTGCGGACGGTATGAGTCCTCGGTAGCCGTGGTGAGGATCCAATCGATGTCGTTGACGTGGACATGAGGGATGGAGCTGATCCTCGTGCCGAACGAGCCAAGGGCTTTGAACTCCTTGAAGCGAATGTCGAACTTGACAGTGGCTGAGTGCTTTATCGGAGGCTGCTCGTTGTTCTTGTCGTCACGCGGCATCCAGGAGCGAGACGATAGGGAGGTCTTGTTCCAGTGAGCCAGTGGGGAGGCTGCTTTTGCCTCGGCGGTGTCGTCTTGAGGGGATATCTCCCGTAGCAGCTCTTCGATGTGCTTGGCGGTTGTGACCACTTCGTCGGCGACAGAGGCTTTGTTGGCCCCAGTGCTTGACACCGAGACATTGATCAAGGCACGCTCAGCAGGGTGTGGAATCATCGCGTGACCCGAGATGGACAGCTCGAATGGTACGTTGTTCGACATCGCTTCGATCGTATGCGTTGTACGACGGGACGTGGAATGCGGAGAGCCTTGTGTAAAGATCTGAGGATATGGAGAGGGGTTTTGGTTGCACAGCGGTAGGCGAATTGGAATACCAGCAGAGGCCCAAGCGCTTGGTTCCATGAAATTGTAAAGTGTCCAGAAATTCGATCCCGAGGGAGCAGAGGGAGCTTTATATATCCTGTCGGCAGGCAACAGCCTCTTCGTGCCTCAGGAAGACATCATCACGTGCCGACTTGACTCCACGTTGCACACTCGGCGGCTAACAGGAGGCCGGATCTGAAGGCTTCAAACAATCCGCTGAAGTGCTCGCCATGCGCGGTGGTGCCATCCCAGCAGCCTCAAATACCCCCAGAATCTTCTGACACCAGGCCATCTTGGGAATGTCAATCTTCCTGCCATACCAGTGCATTGCGATTTGAAGCGGGAAGATTGCTGACGCCAGTGCGACATAGCCGTTTTCTGGTTGGATGTCGGTGGCCAGGGACATGCAGATGCTGTCTGCATATTCGTACGCCATGCCGTTGAGTCTCTGGATGTCGTCGTGGGATTGCAGGATGAGTAGCCCGGGGTGCGCTTCGCAAAGCTTTAGTCTTCCTTGGATGAGGCAGAGCATCAAGACCCAGTACGACCTTTGCTTGGAGGCACTGAGTGCGTCTTTGAATAAGTATGCATTTTGGAAGACGCTTTCGTGATTGTTGAAAGCAGAATGGATGTCTGGGATTTGGGAGACGGCGGTAAGTCGATATGGCTGGTCTTCGATCTTCTCGTACCAGCTGACCATCGCGTCTTGAAGCTCGCCTTCAATGGCGACAATGTCGTTGATCGTCTCAAGTATAGACTCCACTGACGCCGCTGAACCCTTGTGGGTGATCTTGCCAGCGCGCTCAAGCACTTCAGGCACCCGCACCGCGACCGAGATCATGTCTGTGGCCGAGCTGAACGTTGTGCCGCCCGAGAGAGCTACTTGTAAATTTCTGAAGCCTCTCAGGCCTTTTCGTTCGAAGACAGCGTCCCATGTGGCCACTCCATTCAGCTGCGCCCCGAGCAATGCCCGCACGCCGGGGTCGAGATCAGTAGGGTTGAAGTACTCCAACATCTGCATCATTCCACGAACATGTCGTCGGGCACCCATGCCGTCTGGGGCCGCAATGTCGGAAAAGAGTTCGCAGATCAGGAGTACATGCATCGACGCAAGCAGGATGGACGGGCTTCGTTTCGGATTGGCAAGCTCAAAGCGTAGACTCGAGACTGCCAGACCGTACGTTTTGCGTGCAGCCTCGCGCAGTCTCATGTCTTTGCTCGCGATGCCTACGTGGACTAGGCAGACAGCATCAAGGCAATACATCAGAGTAGGGCTCTTCGGCGCTGATCGTAGGATGTAGTCGAAGCCTGCGAATCTTGAACCGTCTTTGCTAAAGAACAGTTCTATAAATCGTGCTTGAAACTGCTGTCTGGCTACCGCCGTGCTGTGTAGGTAGGAGACCCAGGAGAGTTGGCGTGGTGCCTGTGGGGCCAATGATTGAAAGAACAATGCTCGATCGGCTGCGATGGCTCTTTCATCTGGTCTGACGACTACCTTCTTCGGGGGCAGTCTGTTCGATTTTCGAGAGCTTGGTTGTGCGGGTTGCTTTGGGCAATCGCCGACTGCATCCGAAGAGTCTTTCTTTTCTTTCAGGAAGTTGTCTCCATCGTTGCTCAGACTCGTATCTCGTGACATCTCGTCTTCTCGATGTTGTTGCTCTGGCGCCGACTCGTCCTTAGGTGTCGCTGCCATTTGTGCTCAAGGCGGCGATAGTTCAAGTCGCCGACAGGATGACTTGTTCTGCTTAACTCCGTGGGTGTGTTGAATCCAACGACAGCACTCTCGGCCCTGTACCGGGCACCTGCTCCTGAGACTGCGCCCAAGACTTTGGCTTCATCGCTAGGCTGTACTGGCAATATCACCGCAGACGTGACATGGTGGGGTTCAACTGTGTGTCGATGGAGGTTGGAGTCGATATTGCAGCTCGCAACCCTAACCCTGAGTGGGTCACTCGCTGGCGGACGAATGGCGACCAAGCAGCTGGACGAGCACTTGCATTTCAGCCGTGTGGACGGTCGACAGTGCACCCTATCGTGTATCTTCACAGTCATGTGCGTTTGGATCTTGAAGAACCGACTGCTGGTCAATTTTCAAGTCGATGGAGCAGATGGCTTGCTCACAGGCCGAACCTTTTGGTATTGGGTATCACATTCGTTCAACACGGCGCCTTATTTTCTATCGCTCCTGCATGTCCCAAACTTTTATTGCGCGGCGCCTTCATCAGCAGGTTTCTGACGCTGTGCTAACTTCTCGGCCTTCTTCTCCGCCAACTTAGCAGCCTTGCGCTCCCCCTTCGTCCCTCGTCCATCCTTCCCTCCTGACTTATCTCCATCAGCTGCCCCGTCTTCTTTCTCTCCATTGGTCTCAGAAGCTGCCGGTGCTTGCGGTTGGGTAGGATTGGGGTTACCCTGGAACTCAAGTTTCCTTGGATTCATGTACGATCTCATTATTTCCCAATTCACCTTCTCCCTCCGCTCCTGGAAGTCGGCCACAAACTTCTGCAACTCTTTGATGCACCGAGCCTTCATTTCGCCAGTGAGAAGCTCGCCGCTCCGGTATCTCTGCTCCAGATCGGCCAGCTCCTCATCGTCTTCGAGGAAGTAGGAAAGATAAGTGTAGGCGACATCCACATCAGGGTTGCCACCAAATTTGCGGTGCTCCTCAAGAGACTCGCGACCACCAGAGAAAGCGTGCTTGTTGATCTTGTTCTTGATTTCATTTGGCTTGTCGGACATGAAGATGGCAGAGTTGGAATCGGAAGCGCTCATCTTACCACCTGGTCCTTGAAGCGCCGTCAAGAATTTGGAAAGAATCAAGCAAGTCTTGGGGTGAGGATCTGTCATTCGCTCGCATCGGTCTCGTAGCACACGAAAGTAGGGTTCTTGATCGATGGCGCACGGGATCAGGCATGGGATCTTCGACAGCTCTTTGTGTCGTCGGATTGCCGATGGGTCAAAGTCCGGAGGTCGGAAATCCTTGTATCCGAAAAGCTCTGGATACGACGATGGGAATGCGGCGACACACTGCTTGGCTCCATATGCGATGAGGCCGATGCTGGTGGAATCGCCAAACCCGAAAGCCCCTCTTGCCTGGTTCATGGTAACCAGCGACTCGAACTCGGACGTGTTTCTGTAGAAGTGACCACCGATATACTCGTAGTCTGTGAAGATGAACGTCTTTTTGGGATCGAACCCAAGCGCGATGATGTCCTTGATGTTTTCATGGGCGAACTTTAGAAAGTCCTCAGCAGTCGCACCCTTCTTCTGTGTGCCGTTGTTCTTGTTGCGAGTGTACAGGTATTTTTCATCATCCGTCAACATGATCACCAGCGGTACGTCAAACATCTCTTGAATCTCTTTGGTGAAGAGGAATGGCACTGTATGTCCAATGTGCATGCTGCCGCTGGATGGTCCACGCCCGGTGTACAGCATGAACTTGCCATGCTTCTCGTAAAAGTCGAGGATCTTGTCGAAATCGCGGTGGGAGAAGAACAGCTTTCGTCGCATCAATCGATGTGGCTTCTTGCCGGTGACTTGCTCGAATCGCTTTAGATGCTCTTCGGTAAGAGGTTGTACGCCGAACTCCTCGATGAGGCGGTCATAATCGATCGCCTTCGCATTTCCATGCTCGTCCACGCCACCAGAAACGTTGTACGGGTCGATCTGTTGAACGTCGGTCTTGCTCTTCTCAATGGCATCCTCAGCGGTTGGAGGCGCTCCTGTTGCCTCTGCAGCTGCTGAAGCCATTGCGAAGGGAGAGAGTGTGTGGCGTGATGTCGAACAATCTCAGATCCCGTTCCAGCTCTTGGTATCTGCTGCAAGGGATGACTGCAAGCACAACAGGTCCAGTCAGAGGGTGATTGTGTGAAGTTCGCGAAGACATCCCACTTCTCAGCCAATCGCCCCACTAGCGCCATCTTTGTTCGCCTCGCTCCGTCCCGGCGCTTTTTTGGCTTTTGCCTCCGAGCGGAGAAGGAGAGAACTCACGAGAGCATTTGCGATGACCACGCGACCACACCTCGCCACCTCCTCCACCGCAAAACACCATCACAAACATCAAAACATCCATTTCTGCCATCGTCCGGTGATGGGTGGTGCCCGTAAAAGGAGACTGCAGGCATCATGGTGAAATTCTACAGCAGTGAATACTCCTACGACTATGGCTTCAGCGCCGTCTCCCTGGCCTACTTTCTCCGTTATCCCAATCCCTACAGTCGCCATGTCGCATCGACCGACACCATCGACAGGCACTATGATCCAGTCACGCAACGCCTGACCACGACTCGACTCCATGTTAAACGCAGCCGATTGCCACCGGCCGTGCTCAAGCTGCTACCACGAAGCTCGCTCGGTGCAAACGAGGATGGCAGCACCCAGAGCTTCATCCTTGAAAAGAGCGTTATCGACGTAAAAGAAGGATGGATGGAGACAGAAAGTCGGAATCTGGACTGGAACAACGTCCTCTCGGTTATCGAACGCCACACGTACAAACGACCTGCCTTGACCACTTCTGGCGAAGAGAAGGATATTAGCAATGACGTCTCGCTACCCAAAGACGAAGAGCGAACGGATGTATCGGTCAGCGTGACTTTGAAGAGCAGGATTGGGGAGCAGATTCGCAAAAGGAGGCAGCGATGGGGACAGCAGGCTTCGGCTACTTCGGTCACTGGCAACGGCGAGGTCGTACCAGCAGATGAGGAGCCAGTCAAGCAGAGTTGGTTCAGCAGCTGGAGTTCTGGAGCCGTGCGGTCAGCGATCGAGTCGATATCTTTGCAACGGACCGAGAAAAGTCAGCCCAAGGCACAGAAGGGCATGTCGGTTGTTCTTGCACGGCTCCAGAAGGGTGGACTCCAGGCTGTGCTCGAGGGCATGCGAAACGACCGCGAGCTCGCAGTCTAAAAGACTAAATACCGACATCGACTGTACTACTAACGATATTCCATTTTAGCGCAGGCGTTGGGTGGGTTGATTCATGGGACTTTCACTTCTCAACTGTCTATCATTACGGACGTGTTTGAGGGTGTAAGATTGTGTAAATACAAGCAGAGGCCCCAAGCCTAGATAGGAACGACCTCTCCACTACAGAAGCAAAATCATCTATCATCAATTCAATTTGCCTTCGTCATTACCGCAACTCTCCAGTTTTGCATGCGCTTTAGGTGGCATTTGACATCTATTGTATCCCATCAACCCTGCTGTTACTATGCTTTAGAGATCTCAGAGACGTACCGGCCAACATAACGCAATAAGAGTTCCATCGCCTTGTGCTTCTGCATCACGTGCGCTTCATCGGCACAACACCCATCGTCATTGGCCGGCAGGGATGTGTGCTCCTGGCAGCATCGGCGGCCCGCACCTTCTCCCGAACTCACGTCGCGCATCTTTTGAGTGTTTGCCTTTCCAAAGTCATCCCCCACACCTCTTGCTTCCTCTTCCTCAACCCCTTCTTGCCGCGCGACACTGCTCGACCGCTCCATCTCCCAACCACTCAAAATCATCCAGCACCCTTGTCGGCGTTCAAAACACGCGACGAGCGTCGACGACACGCGCATCGGAATCCCATCTCAACTTGACCAAGACGATCTTGAAGCTTGAGACGCGCAGGAGGTTCCCAACAACTCATATTCCGACTCGATATCTTCGAGGTAGCTGCTCGCCATGAGTGCCACTCAGGCAATCGGTGCCGGCGACGGCAGCATGCCCGACACTATGATGCTCGACACACCTGATTACACAGATTCCGAGTCCAATCCCACAGGCACAGCCAACAGTGTCGCGGGTGACGCGCAACAGACTGATGGCCGCAAGAAGCGATGGGAGGGTAATGCGCTACGAAAGAGCATGTTTGGCAAGAAGCATGATCGTTTGGGCGAGAACAAGGACGACGACTCCATTCGGCGGTTCAGATACCTATTGGGCCTAACAGACCTGTTCCGTCACTTCATCGAGTCAAATCCCGATCCTAAGATCCGAGAAATCATGGCCGAGATCGACCGTCAAGATGAAGAAGAGGTTGCAAAGACTGCAGGCAACAAGCGTAAGGGTGGAGCTTCAGGAGATAGGCGGCGGCGGACTGAGAAGGAAGAAGACGCCGAGCTCTTGCGACAAGGAAAGCAGGAGGGCAGGGCGGAGCAGACGATCTTCCGCGACAGTCCACAATACATCCAGGGAGGCGAGATGAGGGATTATCAAGTCGCAGGTCTCAACTGGCTCATCAGCCTTCACGAGAACGGAATTTCTGGCATTCTGGCTGATGAGATGGGGTTGGGCAAGACTCTGCAGACGATCAGTTTCATTGGATACTTGCGCTTCATGCAGGGCATTACTGGTCCTCATCTCGTTGCCGTGCCGAAGTCGACCCTGGACAACTGGAAGCGCGAATTCGCCAAGTGGATACCTGAGATCAACGTCCTTGTGCTGCAAGGTGCAAAAGAAGAGCGTCACGAGCTGATCAACGAGCGTCTTGTCGATGAGAAGTTCGACGTCTGCATTACTTCTTACGAGATGATTCTCCGCGAGAAGAGCCACCTGAAGAAGTTCGCTTGGGAGTACATCATCATCGACGAGGCTCACCGAATCAAGAACGAGGAGTCCTCACTTGCGCAGATCATTCGAATCTTCAACTCACGTAACCGTCTATTGATCACGGGAACGCCTTTGCAAAACAACTTGCACGAGCTTTGGGCCTTGCTCAACTTCCTGCTACCCGACGTCTTTGGCGACTCCGAGGCTTTCGACCAGTGGTTCAACAACCAAGATGCCGATCAGGATACCGTCATTCAGCAACTTCACCGCGTACTGCGACCGTTCCTGCTGCGCCGTGTCAAGAGCGACGTGGAAAAGAGCCTACTGCCCAAGAAGGAGATCAACCTTTACGTGGGAATGAGCGAGATGCAGATCAAGTGGTACAAGAACATCCTCGAAAAGGACATTGACGCGGTCAATGGCGCTGCTGGAAAGAAAGAGAGCAAGACGCGACTGTTGAACATTGTCATGCAGCTGCGCAAGTGCTGCAACCACCCGTACCTCTTCGATGGCGCTGAGCCTGGCCCACCATACACGACCGACGAGCATCTCGTCGACAACGCAGCGAAAATGGTCATGCTCGACAAGCTGCTCAAGCGTATGATGGACCAAGGGAGTCGCGTGCTCATCTTTTCACAGATGTCTCGTGTGCTGGACATTCTCGAAGATTACTCTGTCATGCGGGGATATCAGTACTGCCGTATTGATGGATCTACGGCCCACGAGGACCGTATTGCAGCGATCGATGAGTACAACAAGGAGGGGTCAGAGAAGTTTCTGTTCTTGCTCACTACTCGTGCGGGTGGTCTGGGCATCAACCTTACGTCTGCCGACATTGTCGTTCTCTTCGATTCGGATTGGAACCCACAGGCTGATTTGCAGGCCATGGACCGTGCCCATCGTATTGGTCAGACCAAGCAAGTCATGGTATTCCGATTCGTGACTGAGAATGCGATTGAAGAGAAGGTGCTTCAGCGCGCCGCTCAGAAGTTGCGCCTCGACCAGTTGGTCATTCAACAGGGCCGCGCACAGCAACAGGCTAAGCAAGCTGCCTCCAAAGACGAGTTGTTGGGAATGATCCAGCATGGCGCCGAGACGATTTTCGAGCAGAAAGAGGGCTATGGCGCCTTCAGCAAACCCGGAACGTCGGACGATGACCTCGATGCGCTTCTTCGGAGAGGCGAGGAGCGTACAAAGGAGATGAGCGCGAAGTATGAGAAACTTGGCCTTGACGATCTTCAGAAATTCAGCTCGGAGGCGGGCGGCGCCTATGAGTGGAACGGTGAGAGCTTCATCAACCGCAAGAAGGACATCGGCATCAGTTGGATCAACCCATCGAAGCGTGAGCGCAAGGAGCAGTCATACTCCATGGACAAGTACTACCGAAACGCACTCATGACTGGTGGTCCTCGACCGGAGCCAAAGCCCAAGGTCCCACGCGCACCCAAGCAGATGGCCATGCACGACTACCAATTCTTCTCGCCACGCCTAGGTGACCTTCAAGACAAGGAGACCGCCTGGTTCAGAAAGGAGAACGGCATAAAAGCGCCTCTTGCTGACGGTGACGACGATACCCTGGACCAACGCCTCCAAGATCAAGAACTCGAACAGAGCAACATTGACAATGCGGAGCCTCTTACCGAGGAGGAGATTGCTGAGAAAGAACAGCTCGCTAACGATGGCTTTGGCGACTGGAACAAGCGCGACTTTCAGCAGTTCATCAACGGCAGCGCCAAGTATGGTCGCCATGACTACGAGTCGATCGCCCTCGAGGTCGATTCCAAGGATGCAAAGGAGATCAAAGACTACGCCAAGGTGTTCTGGAAGCGATACAAGGAGATCCACAACTACGAAAAGCACATCGCGGCGATCAAAGAGGGTGAGCAACGCGCCGCGCGAGTCATCGAGCAGCGGGAAATGTTGAGCCGCAAGCTGTCGATGTACCGCGTACCACTACAACAGCTGAAGCTGAACTACACGGTCAGCACTACCAACAAGAAGGTGTACACCGAGGAGGAGGACCGATTCCTGCTTGTCATGCTCAACAAGTATGGCATTGACACGGAAGGCCTGTACGAGAAGATTCGCGACGAGATTCGCGAGAGCCCCCTCTTCCGCTTCGACTGGTTCTTCCTTTCTCGCACGCCTCAAGAGCTGGGCCGACGCTGTGCTACCCTCATCACCACCGTCACTCGTGAGATGGAGGGCAACACCGGCAAGGAGAACAACAAGCGTGCTGTGGATGACGACGACGATGAGGAAGAGGAAGCGGCTCCAAAGAAGAAGGGCCGTCCTTCCAATGGTGCCAAATCCAAGGCTGTCAATGGGCTCAAGGGCACGCCAAACGGTACCTCACGCGCGGCTAGTGTCGACACCAATGCCTCTGGAGGTGGCAAAGCCAAGGGCAAGGGTCGCAAGAGGTAGACATTGCACTATACCCACTGTTATGAGGAGCGATTTCAGCCTGTCGTGTTGGACCAGGCACGGCGTTGGGGGTTTGGCGAGGCGCCTCGAGAGATGAGGCATGCTTGCTGTATGTTAGGGATGTTCGGTTGGGCTTGTGTTCAGACTACAATGCATCGATTTCTACATTAGACGCAACAGACGTTGGAAGGACTTGATGCGTACGATAGGGAATGAGAAAAGTGACTTAGTATAACACATCATATCACGAGCTGCCACCTCGTCTATACGTGCCTCTGCCACTTCGTCAAGTATCGTGGCGCCCATATTCCAGCATGTCCAACCGATGAAGAGGCGCTTGTTCGATGCAGGTACGGAAGTCTGTCTCGACATGGTTTCCTGGCAAGATCATTCTTTTTTGCTTCTATACCTCTAAGGCTGGCTCGATGTCACTTTCTACTGCCGAGGAACAACATCAAGCTTCCAACTCTAACAGGCATCGACGGCAACAGCCTGCCGAACGTGGAAACAAGCCTTGGAACCGCAGATTTATATGTCCAACTTTACCTCGTCAGCCTCACATCACTTCACATCACCTCGCCGTCTCTCATATGCCAACGCTGTCATCGGCGCCATCGCGGCAGTAAAAAGTGTCGTATGTCGTTTTAGCCCGTCGCCAGGACCCCGCTCCGTTGTCGGCGGACATCTGCAGCTAAAGAAGCTCACTTCCAGTCTCTGCCTTACCCGAGGGCCATCACCAGCAGCACGCGCGGGAACACCACACACAGCCAAAGCAGAAGCAACAGGGACGAACGGGACATAAGCTGTGCGACAGATTAATACCCGGGCGATTGAGCTGCGCTGCGTGGTGGCGTCAACCGGCTATTTGGTCCCTACCTATCACTGATCATCTTTTATAACCCTCTGTGGTTCTCCCGCCCTTCCTTTCTCGCCATGTCTGCCCTCAGGACTCTCACCGCCCCCCTCCTCCACCAATACGCATCGACCGCTGCAGCTGCCCGTCCAACGGTAGCCACCGCCGCCCGCTCCTTCCCCCGCCCCATCGCCGCGAAACTCGTCCAACGCCGCACCATGGCCTCGCAGATTCCCAAGATCAAAGTCAAGAACCCCGTCGTGGAGCTCGACGGGGATGAGATGACCCGCATCATCTGGCAGGACATCAAGGATAAATTCATCCATCCATATTTGGACATTGACCTCAAGTACTACGACCTGGGCCTGCCGAAGCGCGATGAGACGGACGACCAGATCACCATTGACGCCGCCGAGGCGATCAAGAAGTACAGCGTGGGCGTCAAGTGCGCGACCATCACGCCGGATGAGGCGCGCGTGGAGGAGTTCAAGCTGAAGAAGATGTGGTTGAGTCCGAACGGCACGATCAGGAATATTCTGGGGGGAACTGTGTTCAGAGAGCCGATTGTGATTCCGAGAATACCCAGATTGGTGCCGGGATGGCAGAAGCCGATTGTGATCGGTCGTCATGCGCATGGTGACCAGTACCGTGCGAAGGACCAGGTTATTGAGGGACCTGGCAAGCTTGAGATGACTTTCACCCCCAAGGGTGGCAAGCCGCAGAGTATTGAGGTGTTCAACTTCACCGACAAGCACCAGGGTGGTGTTGCTCTCTCGATGTACAACACGACCGAGAGCATTGCTGGTTTCGCTCATGCTTCGTTCAAGCATGCTCTTTCTCTTAACTACCCCATGTACATGACGACCAAGAACACCATCTTGAAGAAGTACGATGGCAAGTTCAAGGATATCTTCCAGGAGATTTACGAGAAGGATTATCGCAAGGAATTTGAGTCCAAGGGGCTTTGGTACGAGCATCGTCTCATCGACGACATGGTCGCGCAGATGATCAAGAATGAGGGCGGCATGCTTATTGCGATGAAGAGTGAGAGAACCTATTCCACAATGTTAGCCGCAGCTTCTAACAGTGAAACAGACTACGACGGTGATGTCCAATCCGACATTGTCGCCCAGGGCTTCGGCTCGCTGGGTCTCATGACTTCCGTCCTGGTCACTCCAGACGGCAAGACCTTCGAATCCGAAGCAGCCCACGGCACCGTGACACGCCACTACCGCGAGCACCAAAAGGGCAACCCAACGTCCACGAACCCCATCGCATCCATCTTCGCCTGGACCCGAGGTCTCGCCCGGCGTGGTGAGCTCGACGGAACCCCTGAACTCGTCAAGTTCGCAGAAAGTCTCGAAGAGGCCTGTGTCCACGTCGTCAACGACCAGGGCATCATGACCAAGGACTTGGCAATTAGCTGTGGGAAGAAGAACGACTACGTCACCACGACCGAGTACCTGGAGGCGGTTGAGAAGCGCATGAGGGCGGTCCTCAGCTCGAAGTTGTAGATGGGTGGTTGGTTAGTAGTGAAGCGCGCCCCTGCAGTAGAGCTGCATGCTGCATCAGACGACAGGAAGCATTTGTGTTGTCTTTTCCTTGTAGATTACTAGAACTGGATGGATGGACATACTGCCGCGTCATTGCGTGGTTCCTTTTCCTATCCTTTCTCAAATACCTCTGGCAAGGATAGCCACGTGTTGCAAGGGTGATGAATCGCACGCAGTGGTACACGATCGGCGGCTCCGCTGTCGTACAGCCGTCCGTCGGTCGTTCCATCCACGTCTCATCAAGAGGACGATCGATCCGTAAACCAGGCCACGTGGAAGTGACACCAGATGTCAATACCACGGCTAGCCTTGTGGTCTCCCGCTGCAGATGTATTCCTCATCAACACTAACGCAGCCGAGATGGGAAAACGCAGATGTGCCTTTTCAGCCCACGTCCACGTCGATAGCCGCGCTTGACGCACGCAACCATGCAACCAACCAACACTCCAGCCTTTCCAACCGGCCCAGCTGGTTGACCCGACGATGAGGAATCCAGTCTCGGCGCATGAACTCAGAGGCCATAGCTCCAGCTTTGCATTGCCTCACTCACAATCAATTGGGGAGGGCGGTTGATTGGTCCAAAATCGTTCGGGTGGTGCTGAGATTTCGGAGTAAGGCTACTCTACTCTAGCGCATGAAACACCGGTGAGAAGGGAGGTCCTCTCATCTTTGCTGCACTGCTGGGCTGGTCTGCTGGATTTGGATATCGATGGGATGACTTCATGGGGTTGTTTTGATTTGTCACTTTGATGTCGTCGTTCGTTTGTGGGGTAAGGCGAGGTGCAGGAGACTAGTTGAAGACGAGAGATGTTTTGGAGGGAGCACGAGGGAATCAGGGGTCGTGGAGTCTAAATTCCGGTCGGAATGCCCGTGCTCCCATCCGGCTTTGGTCGGGCCGCGCCCTGTTCTGACGTTCGGTCTTGACGACATGCCCTGCTCTGCTCTGCCCCGGTTTGCGTTCTGGCATTCGTCTTCGCAGATATTGTTGCAGCATGCAGGTAAGCATGATGTTGTACGCGACACGATATTTTGACTGAAGTCGGCCGGCTGCACTTGCATCCAGCCTTGCCGCCCAGCGAGTTGCCTTCACTTACCGAGATGATAGGGGCAAGGGGATGATGGACGTCGTCAAGAGTTGTGTTTTTGTCGACATGACCGCGATCGATACCATTCCGCAGCCCTAATGTTAGCCCAACACTGCATTGCATATGCACATAGTGTCTGAAGTGGCAATTTTCTCACATGCAGCTTGTTGGTCCTGCATACGGGCACCCACCATGCTGTTGGCAATGCGTCGACGCAAGGTAAGATTGCCAGATCGCGTGGTCGCCCTCTGACCTGTCATGTGTTGCCGCACGCAGGTCCGTGTTGCCCTTCCAGGGCAAGCTTCCTTGCTGCAAGGGGTCGGTGGCGATACCATTGGATAGAAGCTATTGAGCTCGAGCTCTGATGGTCGCGTTTTTCCAGACCCGCGATGCACGATACTGTGATTATACACAACGCCTATAGTGAGGTTAGCCGTCTTGGGAAGAAGGTAAGCGTGTCTCTGAAACAGTCTCGCTGGTGTCGATGCGTTTCTGTTGCGTGGTGAGAAGATAAAAGATGGTGACTTCTTACGTCTTGCGGTACTCGTTGATTTCCTACGCCTACCTACCTCAACATCTCCTGCTGTTGACACACCCGTCGTGCACGAGACACAGGCTTCCAACATGAACGCAGCTACTCAAGACGAACAAGCGAGGGCAAGTAAAGAGGTTGAATCTCGGCTTGCATCCACTAACATCTTCCAGGCGACCCGGCTGATGCAAACCTTGATCGAGCAAGAAGCTCTTCTTGCGGACTCTCGGCGGGCAGCAAAGAACATGAGCGTCAACGGCGTCTCGACGTTAGACTTCGAAGACATGTTCCCCAAGCCTGAGAGCGCCGAAAGCATACTGCCGAATGGTAACGGCAGCGACGAGCTCTTGCAATTGACCGAGCACCGACGCCAGCAGACGCAACAGCCGCAAACACCAATGGAGCACTTTCTTGCAATCAGTAGCTCCTCGGATTCATGCGCGGTGTACTCCCGCCTTCGAATGGCCGAGATGAAGATCCCAGAAGGAGTTCAAGAACACGCAAGCATCAGAGTTAGTCTAGTCCAGAAAGTCAGCACGCAGCATGCGGACTACCTTGCAGCGCAGCGTGTGAGCGACTCCAGAAGAGTTGGGGCGTCCAGTGAGGTGTCGAGGGCGAGATCTGAGCCAACGCAGAGGAGGACATCACAAGTGGCACTAGCAGAGGGTGCTTGGTATGGGCGAGCGCAAAGCGTCTGACTTGCAGCACGACCAGCCGCGTGCAGCTGGTCCTGCATTCAGGGAGCCTCCGCTGGCGAAGTTAGAGCAATGATGATAATTAGCCCTGAAATTAGTGTGGTTGTCTGCCGACACAGTCCCTGATCCTGGGGGTTGACTTCTTGGCAACCTCCCGCGTCTGCTCCTTAACGTATGCCTCAGTGCACTGGCAGAGCCGCATGACCTCAGTATTGCGTGTCTGATGCACGATCACAGATACTAGGCGCAATCTTGTGGCCTGGCACGGTGCTAAAACGACTGAGGCTGCATGAGCCCAGCTGAAAGTGAGCTGCAGGTGTGCCATCCCGTCGCGCCGCTGTCACCGCGCAGACGGCGTCAACGTTTATTTCGTCAGACCGCATTGCTCTTGGTGCACGATGCGGCGCTATCTGACAGACGCTCTCGAAGTAACGCCCCGGCAGCCCTGCGGGTGAACCAACGGGCACCTGCTCCTGTGCAGAGGGCGCCCATCATCATGGTGCGGCGGCACGATCGTGGACGCCAACCGCAAATCTTGGTGGTAACAGGCGAGGGCGGCCTCCCGGAATGGATGAGGCCCTGGTCGTGGCAGCCGTTCCTGGTGGTTGTTGTGGGCTGCGCTTGGACCGTGCCGCAAGCCACGAAGTCACTAATGCAGCCCATCGAATATTCTTAGCTGCTTCTTACACCTCTCCTGCATGATGCGCCAGCATGTGACCACGCAGAATTTGGGTGCGGCGGGATCCTTTCGAGGACTCAAGTGAGATGAAGTTGTTCGCGCAGCTTCCGAGGGTAGTCACAAGGCTCAGAAAGCCTTTTTAGCGATTGATCCCTGCCGCCAACTTTCCATGGGTCGCAGCGATTTTCACACACCGCAGCCGGCATGGGGTGACCAAGTACGGTCTGACAAGGCCGACGTTGCTCCTGGTCTCAGGCTGCCAAAGTGTCGGGGCTTGCCCATTGTAGGGGCTTGCAAGGTTGTGCTGCATGCCCCAAGCCTTCCAAAAGGTTGTGCCAACCAAGCTGTCAAGGCTCGTGACTGAGATTCGGCCTTACGGTCTCATTTGACATGGAGTCAGGCCAAGATATGGCATCAAGGCACATCCGAGACTCGTGCCGGTAGTCTTGGCCATCGACGCGGGTGGGCTCCAGGGTGCTACGACTGAATGGTGCCATTGCAACGGTTCAGCTGAGATGCCTGGAGTGTGATCCTGGTCCCGTTGGCGGTTCCCCGGCTCGCATCATCCAAACTCACAGTCCTTTTAACTTCGTTATGCGCGGGTGACAAGGAATCCGACGACCAGCGAAGACAATTAGCTCGTGTGGACTGTAGACGAGCACCCGCGACTAGCAATGATCTTCGCCCCGTGCAATAAGCTCACTCGTGGGGAGCGAGTGCCAACAGACAATCTGAGGATGTATCCTGCACGCTGTCTCCTCCTGGGATTAGTTGCCCTGATTGCGGCTCGCACCCACTGCACAAGACCAACCCACATCAACGGCAAGTACTAAGGTTCTTCCAATCTGCCGGCATTTGGCTGGAGCGCACATTCCGCAGACGCCGCGTCCACCTTGGCGCACTGCACGAAGCCACTCAGCGCTGCCGCACAGGTCTCCTACGTGACCAGGTCGCGGAAAGGACGCCGGGAGCCATCGCGTCCAGCATCCTGCGGAGGGGCGGTCGGCAGGCAAGTTGATCGTCGGTCTGTGGTCTCTGAATTTGCGCTCTGGTGACGGCTCGGCAGGCATGGGTGTTGTAAATCAGAGTGAGACGTCGCGTTCCAAGTATCGCTGGTAATCCGGTATCGATGCGGACATATAACCCGGCGCAGGTAGCAGTGATGGGCAACGCCTGGATGACCCTTTGCCATCCCTTCCACACTGCTATACGTCTGCCGTTTATATCGACTCGACCGAGCATCTGAATTGTCGACTCAGACCCTCCTCTCCGTGGCAACAAAAGATCGACCATGTCGAAAAGCCAAAGCACTAAACGAGACGGCGCGTCGCTCAGCTCGCCCGGCAATTATGTCGTGGCCTCCTCGGAATCTGTCAAGCAACTTGAAACGAAACAGGTTGCAATGACGGTGGGTAACCCGCTGGGCGTCCTGCTTGTATGGCTGCTCACGATGTTACAGATCGACTGCACATTCGTCGAATCAGCTGTTCGATTTGAAGCAACTCAAACATTCCAGCAAGCTCTGTTCGACTGGCAGAAACACCATCAGGCGAGCGCCACGGACGACTTGGAAAGATGTCCCCAGACCGAAGACGGCCATACGTTGGAGGCAATCTGCCGGCAATATGGGCACACTAAACAGGCTCAAGCATCGCCATTGGAGAGATGGGCCACTCTGACGAACTCAAATGCTGAATTCCCACTCCATGCCAAGATATGTATGGAAAGCGTTGGCGTGGCCATCGGGTCTCTGGAATCCGTGGAGATGCGAGCTCGCGCTGCTAAAGCGATTACTTCCGGCATCTAAACCGAGTTTCTCTGCGGTAACATATCCATGGGTACTTGACGGAAGTCATACTGGCGTGTAAGATTAGGTGGCCGGGTTGCGAATAGGCGTTCATGGGGTTTGAGTCTGGAAGCGATCCAGTCCAGCTACGTGCAGTTGATGGCATGCAGTATGATGCCTCCCGGAGAAGCTGGATTCGCGTTTGATGTTGTCTCGGTCTCGGTGTGCGAAAGCGCACGTGTGTGTTTGGGAGAAGTCACGTCGTTGTTGTTGATGCTGATTCTATTTTTACTTTCTCCAACAGATCGGGCTTGGCAGACCCACTTTTCTAGACTGCACTTCATCTGGACGAGTACTTGTCGCTCTCAACTCCTTCTTCCTCATGACTCCAATTGCACCTCCCTAATGCATACCCAATCACAACATTTGTGCCTCCAAATACCTGACATGCGCTCTCAAATACGACCGTTCTTGCCTTGCCAACATTCGCTCCCTAGGACAATACCGGGAGAGCACTCACGCCCACCGATGCCGCCTCCTTATTAAGGGTATCAATCTCAGCTTGAACGAATGGAATACCAGTCTTTCTTCGCTCCTGTTCTTTCAGCTGCTCAATTTCGCCTGGGAAGTAAATTCTGTCCACTGTGGGGCTCTTCTCAGCTCCGGTAACTCGCTGGTAGAGGTATTCCAAGCGCTCTCGGAACTCTGCAGTGCTCATGAAAAGATCCGGCTTGATCACGACAAGGAAGTGGCCAACATTTGCTGCATCGGTGACATTGAGCGGGCCTGTGACATGGCCTGCAAAAGCCGATCCAGAGAGGACACCGGAGAACACATCCATCATTACTGCGAGACCGAAGCCCTTTGGTCCTCCCATTGGCTGCATAGTACCTCCAAGAGCAGCGGTTGGATCATCTGTGGGCTTGCCGTCCTTGTCGAGTGACCAGTCCATTGGGATCTTTTCTCCACGACGCTGGGCCTTGAAGATCTTGCCACGAGCTGCGAGGGAAGGCGCCATATCGAGAATGAAGTCATGCTCACCTGGCGCACCACATGCCAGTGGTGACACGCCAATGAGCTTGTTTCGGCCACCCCATGGTGCGAGAGCCGGCGAGGAGTTGGTGAAAACCAAGCTCATCATTCCAGCATCGAGAGCCTGCTTTACGATCCACGCCGCCATGCCGAAGTGGTTCGAGTGCTTTATGCTGACCATGCCGATGCCGTACGCCTGAGCCATCTCGATAGCCTTGGACATCCCGAGTTGCGAGGCAAGAAATCCGAATCCGTTCTTTGCGTCTACCAGAGCCGCAGCAGGCGTGACTTGCTTGAGCTCTGGCTCTGCTTTAACGTCCAGCAAGCCTTGTCGCATTCTCGTCATATAAGATGGGATTCGGTTGATTCCATGGGTGTCGACACCTCGCAAATCGGCCGCCACTAAACATCTGGCAACAATCTTGGCGCTTTTCTCTGGTACTCCATTGGCAACTAGCACATTGACTGCAAAGACTTCGGCTGCCTCCGCCGAGACATTCACAATGTCTGAAGTTCCGTTAGATCCCATGGTAAAGGTGTTAGGCTGGCTGTGGGGAGCAGTTGTCGAGAATGCTGATATAATTCGACTGAAGTCCTGCACGACTGACTCTTATACCTGGCGATTCTTACGATGTTCTTTCGTACCGAAACCGGTAGAACCGGAGCTGAACGGTGATTTGCCGTACCACTGTACTTCAAACTCTTCCAGAGATGGTTGGTCGGCAAATTGACCGATGAACACCACGTGACCGGACCAGTTCCGACGTCCCTGGACAAATGCCGAACCATAGCTCGAGTGTTCGCAGGAGGGCTCTCCTATCAGCAAAAGAATAACGTATTTGTTTCGACGTTCTGTCCTTGGATGGAATTTGGAGTGATGCTCAAAGTACCGAAATCTTTCCCCCATGAGCCACTTATTCCGTGTGTCGGGCTTGGCACTCGAACGTCTGTCATAAACTTGGATGAAAGTTTCATTTGCCGGCTTTTGCTACTTCTCACCACACGAGAGACTCTTCTTATGGACAGCCTCCAGCAAGACTTCGAGCGTCGACTTCTGGATCACCGCCAACTTTGAGAGAATGCCCAACACTTTCCCTCTCCCGATATCGCGCAGCAAGCCGATGTATATCTGCAGGATCGCCAACCGTCATCCACCAGATTATTATTGATGACATGCTTGTTTCCAAATCCAAGACAATCCTCACGAGTCTGGATCGGTCCATTGCCAAAGCCTTCTGGGATTGTCAACAAACAGGCGATGGACCTGAGCTGGGCTCCCAGCCCATTCTTTGTACAAGTCAATGAGGGCGAAGTCATTGACCTTCAAAAAGTCCTGCGGCACTAGCCGTCCTGCTGCTGAGTTGCCTGATTGACCCACAGTATGCGGCCAACCACTGGCATAAACCACCATCTCAGGACCATTGATCATCAATGTCTGAGCCACGACCCGCATGTCTTGATACAGGGGGGCATCATTCGAGCATTGATAAGGTGCCGAAAGTGTGACAAAGAGCAACTTCCTCGAGATGAGATCAATGGCTTCGCTGAACCCCTCCATATGATACGGATCTATAGTATCGAGGGTGTTGTTAACACGCGAACCGACTTCGGCATGTGCGAAGTGGTCTGCCATGACACGGACGCCAAGGTCAGGGATGGTTGAGTGCAGCGCTTTGAATGCCTTCAGTGGTATCCAGAGTTCTAGAACCCAATCATGCCTTCTGGCGACCGCCGCATTCTTCTTGACCGCTTCGACGATATCGGAATCTTTCCCATTGGCACCGAAGTTCACGCGTACACCTCTCACGCCTGCTTCGTGGTATCTTGCAAGTGTGTCGTTGCTGACGCTGTCCGGATCTACAACGCAGACTCCTCGTGCTGTCCCGTTGAAATATTTCAGGGCATCCAGAAGAACTGAGTTGTCTGTGCCGTAGACGCTTGGCAATACGACGACCGTATGGGCAATGCCGCATCCAGCTTCCAAAGCTGCTGCTTGCTCTCTTGTCGCAGACTTGGGCGTGTAGCCTTGAAAGTATTAGCGGCTGGATAGCAGATTGTCAAGTGATAAGAAATTCGATTGACATACTGCGGTTTGGTGACAGTGGGAAGCGCTCAGGATCGATAACGTGCATCTGAGAATCCCTACAGGCACAATCAGCTTGAAACTCCAGACATCATCAACGTGGTCACCATACCATGAGTACTCTGGCACCAAGCCTTTCATGGCCATGGTCGAAGGCAAGTTAAGCAAGCATAAGGAGACGGCAAGCTTGCCAAGCATGCTATGCTGCATGTTCATAGGACCTCAACAATTGGACCCAGTCAACGAGTGTGATGGAGACCCGTGTGGTTCCTTCGCAAGCCAAGAACAAGCCAAGAAGACGACGGCATCTATATCCACCATCCTTGACCACAGAGACGACACAGATGCCTCCCCTCGATGCCTTCCTTCTCCTGTCTCGGCGCAACCCCGAGATCACCCATATCAACGTCCGGCTACACGGCTTCATACATGCCTCCAGAAGCGGCTCTCCGATGTGCAATGTCCTCCGACCCCACAAAACTCCACCCCATGGGGTCAGGCGACTCATAATCGACTCCAGTCTTCCTTGCGATATAGTTCACGGCACGACCAATCACAGCCTTGCGCAGCCATTCACTTACAGGAATGGACGGCACAGCTTACGCAGCAGTAGCAAGCGGATCCGCCGAGTCGGAACCGTCAGAACAGCAGGAAGCTTAGCGACGCTTGTCAACACATGGCTCTGTGTGTTGGTAGAGTCTACGCTAGTGAAACACTACAGCACGTTTTCGCTGATCACAGCGAAATCGCATACTGACTCGAACATCAGTCGAACACATTCTCGAGGTTCTCATATTCATATCAACAAAAGAAAGACCATCTTGTACAATTCAAAACCTCTTCGCCGAATCCTCTAAATCCGTATTCCATGGTTTGAAGCGCCCGCTCGGAGTCGCCCCGACACATAGAAAGTGGTCTATGTGCTGAGCCTGGACCTTCAGCCCATTCTTACCGGACATCCACCCGAGCAGCTGTATCGAGTGTAGCTGATCACGAGGGGTAAGCCAGCCTTTTTCTCCACAATCACTAAAGTATATGAGATCGGCTCGAGCTAACGAGAGACCTGGAGAAGAGTCTGTCTGTCTACTCTCCTGAACCCACCATCCCATCATCGAGTCTCCTTACCTCTACCAGATCAGACGGTCGGTCTGTTTGTCAAGATGTTGGGCAAGAAGTTCCTCAAGAACCCATTCCACAAACCAGCCTCGGACGTTCCAAAGGAGGCATACAACTGGAGGCTATGGTTTGCCGTGTTGAGTCGGTCATCCCTCGTAACACATACATCGACGAGACGCTGACAATTGGTAGCCTTCTCTCTCCTGGGCGCCGCCCGTGGATTCGACGAAGGTCTGATCGGAACGACAGCCTCGCAGAAGTCGTTTTCCAATCTCTTCCATCTCAAAGATCCCTCGCTGTCCAAGTCTGAGCAAGCCAACCGTCTGAGCAACATCACCTCGATGGTGCAGATTGGTTGCGTGCTTGGTGCTATGGTCGCCTTCTTCATGGCTGATCGTCTCGGACGTCTGTGGGCGGCGAGGCAGCTCATCTTCTTCTGGGTTGTCGGACTCGCCATCTTCATCTCAGCGGGAGCCAACGGCAGCCTCGGACAGGTCTATGCAGGTCGTTTCATCGCTGGAGTCGGCATCGGCCAGACTGCTGTCGTTGGACCTGCGTATCTGGCTGAGATTGCACCTTATCCCATTCGTGGGCTGGTCGTCGGCTTCTTTGCAGGTGCATCATACCTCGGAATCATGATGTGAGTCGATCGCCCAACCGTCTTTCGTCGCACTCGTGACTGATTTTTGAACAGCGGCTACTTCGCCTCGTATGGTAGTTCTCTTCACATCTCCAACAACAGCCAGGCACAGTGGATCATTCCAAACTCAACTCCATTGTATGTCGCAGCCATCATCTTCGTCCTGAGCTGGTTCCAGCCTGAATCTCCACGATGGCTCGTCAAAAGGGGTCGCATCGAAGACGCACGACACGCGCTGGCTACAATCCGCCAGCTACCTGTGGACGACCTCTACATCGCCAGAGAGATTGCAGACATCTCTGAGCAACTCGAACAGGAGCAGGAAGCAACAATGGGCACCAGCAAGTTCGGCCTCGTCCGTGAACTTTTCCTGATCCCCAGCAACCGATACAGACTCTGGTTGTCCTTTGGTGCTCAGGTCCTCTCGCAGTGGAGCGGTGCTGGATCCATTACCGTCTATGCGCCACAGTTCTTCTCCATCGTTGGTGTTAAGGGCTCGTCCGAAGGCCTACTCTCGACGGCTATTCTCGGTATCGTCAAGTTTGTCAGCTCGCTCATCAGCGCTATCCTGCTGGTCGACATCGCCGGTCGAAAGCCAGCTCTCTGCACCGGCATTACCATCCAGCTCGTCGCTATGACCTACATGGCCCTGTTCCTGACAATCGACCCCTCCGTTGGCACTGCGGGTGCTGTCCAGTCACCTAGTCAGAAGCACGCGGCCACCGGTGCCATCGCTATGATCTACTTTTCAGGTTTCGGCTGGGCGTTGGGATGGAACTCCCTCCAGTACCTCATCAACGCCGAAATCTACCCCCTGAGGATCAGAGCGTTGGGCAGCAGTATTGCGATGACCCTCCACTTCGCAAATCAGTACGGCAGCAACAAGGCAATCACAGAGATGTTCTTGGCGCTCACAACAGCTGGGACCATGTGGTTCTTCGCTGCGGTCACTCTGCTCGGTCTTGTATGGGTATGGTTCTTCCTGCCTGAGGCAACCGGCCGTACGCTTGAGGAGATCGACGCATTGTTTGAATTGCCTTGGTACAAGATTGGACGACAGAAACGTACTCCTCCTCCGGCGAGGGGTGTCTATGGCGAATATGTTATCGATGAAAAGGAGCCAAGGGCACAAGCTCATGTGGAGGACGCGAACGTCAAGGCTTGAGGTGGCCGCAAAAATTACAACTAGATGCAACAAGATACGAAAGTCTTGTTGCGATGATGTGATGGGTATGCAGTGCGACTTTGTAGAGGAGATGCTGAATGCAATGAATATTGTCCGCACTAAGAGCGTCAGGCTGTGCAGGCTGCCCCTTCCTCCAATAGACTCAACACCGGTATCACTCGCTGAACTTGCCTCGACTTCAACATCAGTATCGACCTCCTTGAAACACGAATGCTCCGTTGATGCAATGTACCCCAGACGGTCGTCGAGATCTGGAGACCCACTCGCAAGGATGTCGCGGAAGATATTCGGCTTCATCGTAGAGAACCACAGATGAAGTCATATGCCGCTCATGCTTGTCGACGCGTTTGCTTCATCTACGCGAGACTTGTGTTGCCTTTCAACTTTTTCCTCTTCTCTTCCTCTCGCCTCCTATCACACATGACCGCAACAGCATCCGCCATGTCGGATTTCCCAACAGTGGACATACCAGTCCGCCAGTCTGAACCATTCCTAAGGCCAGCGACTATAACGAACGCCATTGGCATCCTCAGACATTTGATTCTACCTTCCTTCGGAGTACAAGGAGGCCTGAGTGTGATCGCCTATGGCATCGCTCGGACAACGAACAGATTCGATCTCAAGGATTGGTTATGGCCGACCGGAATGGTTCTGAATGCATGGTGGACGGCTGTTGGAAGGCATACGACCCTCACTCGACCCGCTTCTATCCTCGACGCCGTGAAAGATCTCAGCTTCTCTCAACAAGTACTCCTAGGCGCGGTCACAGCATGGGGCGGAAGGCTCGCATACCAGGTCATCAGCCGCAGCGTCAAGCGTGGCAAGGATGATCCGAGATATGAGGGTGTGAAGCGCGAACATGGTTTTTGGAACAAGGCTTCGATTCTCTTCGGCCTCGAAGCAGCTTTCCAAACGCTCATCTCAATCCCGTTCACCATGCCATTCCGTACAGACGTTCTCTCTGGGTTCTCATCAGCTCCGGCAAGCTGGGAAGGCCCAGCACGCTGGGCTGCAACTGGACTCTTCACGGCCGGCTTCGCTCTCGAAACCATCGCAGACTGGCAGCTCGCCTCCCACAAGGAACGAGAGGCTGTCAAGAAAGAGCAAGGAGAGAGCGGCGAGCTTCTGAGAAAGGGCGTCTTCAGCATCGTGAGGCATCCAAACTATCTCGGCGACGCACTCTGCCACCTAGCGTTCCCATTGTGGACCTACGGATGCGGACTATTCCATGTATCTCAACTCCTTGGTCCTGCGGCGAACTACTTCTTCCTACGATGGATTGGCGGAGACCGCGAGAACGAGGCGTATCAGTCGCAGAGATATGCGAAGGAGGATCGGGACAAGCACGCTCAGCTGGAGCTGTATCAGCTGCAGAAGAATAGTTTTTGGCCTTCGATTTTCGAGATCGTCAATCCTTGGGCATGGACTGTAGCGGCCATTGGCACGACGGCAGCATGTGCGGAATATCTTTTCGAGTCGAGGATACTGGCAGCGGGCACTGCAGTGAACCCTATCAACCCGGTGGTTGGTGAGACTCTTGCTGCGTTGAATTAGATATGTGAAAAGGGGAAAGCCATCTGAGTAACAGCAAGTTCCTAGCGGTCTTGATGGACTCGCTATCATAGATTAGAGCATGCCGTAAGATATCAATGTCACAACAAGATGATTGTAGGAAGAGAGTGATAGCAAGAGAGAGCCCCCCATCGGGCCGTCGGAGGAAACTTCCGAATGAGAGCCGAGGCCTTCACCTCACCTTAAAGCTCTCGACCTCACCCATTGACGTTTTGAATAAATCAGTCCCATCTTCCTCTGTACATACCCTTGCAACGCACCTCCGAAATGGCCGGCGGAAGCACCTTCACCTGGTCCCACGCGCTCCGCCTCGACTCGACCAAATCACCCTTCACCTCGCCTCTCCCCCAAACCCACCAAGCCTTCAAAGGCGTCAAACCCGTCTCCTGGAAACGCTACAACATCGGAGGCCTCCTCGTCACAATTTACGGACAAGATGAACTTGCCCAACACCCGTCCGAGATCGTCTGCATGTGGCTGCTGCACGGAAGAGGGGATACACAAGATAGCATGGCGTACACCGCGGCGGGGCTGTTGGGTGCATGGAATAGCCATCGACAAGGAAAAGGCGAAGGAGTAAAAGGCTTGATCTGTATATGTTTCGACCAGAGGAACCACGGATCCAGAATGGTCGAAAACAACAACAACATCTCCTGGAAACAAGGCAACCCCACCCACGGACCCGACATGTTCTCGACGTACTCCGGCACGGCCCACGATTTGAGTCTCTTAATCACCCAGATCGAATGGTACCTCCCCTACAAACTCCACGACCACATCTGCGGCGGCGTCAGCCTCGGCGGACACGCCTCGTGGATCGCACTGATGCGCGAACCGCGTCTCCGAGCCAGCATGATCATCGTCGGCTGCCCGGATTACGTGCGGCTCATGACGGACCGCGCGGTGCGGAGTAAAGTCCCCTCGACGCTGACGACGGAGCCACCCGGACGGGACTTCCTGGGTTCGAGAGATTTCCCGCAGGCGCTGGTCGCCGCGGTGGAGATGTACGATCCGGCGGGGATTTTGCTTAGTGAGTTGGATGTGTATGGGCCGAATGATCATGAGCATGAGCTGTCGGAGGAGGAGGTGGGGAGGTTGCGGCCGGTTTTGGAGAGGACGCTTGCGGGGAAGAGGGTGATTTGTTTGAGTGGGGGAAAGGATAGACTCGTTCCTTATGCGCAGAGTAAGGTGTTCTTGGAGTGGTTGAAGAGGGCGATTGATAAGGAGAGTGGATGGGCGAGAGATCAGAATATCCAATTAACGGACATCGTCGATCCGGATGCTGGACACGAATTCTCCAAGACCATGAGGGAACACGCCGAACGCTGGATTATCGATTACCTCTCGTCAGACAATACGACCGAAAGACACAGCAAGCTCTGAGAAACGTAATCATTCATTCGACATTGCTTCGTCTATCGACATCAATGCCCCCAAATCGCAGGTCTTCTCCACCCGCGGAACTGAGGCGTCGTGATACATATACATGATTCCGCATTACAACATAATTAGCAAGCCGCCCAATGCCGGCCCGAAACCCACGGCTAGACCCCACAGAGACGCTTTCTAGGAGTTCTCTGTGTATCCCAGATTCGCCAGGCCCTGCACGAACTTTTTGTTGTTCCTCGTCTTGGCCCGCTGGAACGCAGAGGTCAAGATACTCGCATACGACCACGTCAAGTCCGCGCAGCCCTGCGGCGTGCCGTTGTCGCGGTCGAACTCCTCGGTCAGCGACTGGTCGGATGGCGTGTAGTACTTGATCGTGCGCATGAAGGCGTCGCCCCAGCCGTTGACGCTGTCGATGACGGAGTTGAACTGCGTGCTGTTGTGCTGGTACGTCTGGCCGATGTTCACGCCTGCGTCTGGAGCGAAGTAGTCGAAGAAGCTCTTGGAGGTGTTGGTTACGGTGAGCTTGCCCGCGGAGGTGAATTCGGCGGACGCGGCGTAGAGGTACTGGGAGACGGCGGCTGTGGTGAGGTACCTGCAAAAGAGTCAGCACATGCCCGATTAGGCAGGGAATGGGTTTACATACCATGGGTTACCTCCGTTGGCCTCAGTCGCCGACCCGTTGTAGACGTCCTCGGGGTAGCGACCAATCGGGACTCCGAGAGTCTGACCAGACGAGTCTTTCTGAGTCTTGTTGAAGATCGGGTATACGTTGATGAAGCTCGTGGTATAGCGAACCATCGTGCTCAGAAGCTGCTCGTTCGTGTAGCTGTACACACCGTCGCCGGCATATCCATGAATGACACCGAGAGGAACAGCAGCATCGAGGTAGCTCGACTTGCCGAGGAGGACTGGGCCATACTCGTAAAGCACAATTTGGCGACCTACGTCCCAGAATTGGCTCATCGTGCTGGAGATGGCGTCCGCGGCGCTCTGCAGCGTGCTTGCGGTCTGACTGTCGTTGAACCTCTTGGCGAATTTGGCTCCCAAGACGAGGGCCTTGCGCTGGACCATGCGGGTGTAGAAGTGGTCGGAACTCTCCTCTTCCCAGAGATCGAACGATGAGCTGGTCCAGTTGCTAGCGACGAAGAGGAGATCTTTCTTCAGCGGTGCGGTCTTGGGATAGTTCATCGAGTCGTAGATCTTCTGCAGCACTGCGGTGGTGTTGCCGCCTTTCTTCAGGTAGCTGTCCGCGAACTCCATGAGCGTGATGGCAGCGGTCGCTGGACCATCGTTCTGAGGACGACCCCATGGCTTCTCGAAGATTGTGTTGTTGAGGTAGAACTTTGGCTCACCGAGACCGGTTTGCAGGTTTGGATCGTTCTGCTCGGTGGCGCGGGCTGCGGCGTACTTGAACAGGGCATTCTGGTATTGAGTGGTAGCGCCGGCTTTGCTGGATGCATCGTACAACTGCTGGACGACTTCCATCGTCAAGGACGAATCGCGCACCCAGTCGTATTCGTAGTCGGTGACATGCGACTCGAAAGATGGACCACTCCGGCCTGCGACCACCACACCATCGACAGCTCCTGCCACGGCCGGGTTGATGTTTCTGAACATCTTCGTGAAGGACGCGCGGACTTGCGAGCCGGCGGCGTTGTCGAGGAAGTTTGTGATATCATCGCTGAAACCCTTGGGCGTGGCATATGGCTTCGGCGGAGAGGGTAGAGTTGGAGCGGGCTTTCCACTCGCCACGACGGTTTGGTTCAATTGCTGCGAGTAGACCTGGTTGTTGTCCACGACGTCGTAGGTGATGTTGAGAAGTTGCTGGATGCCGTCGATGTACACAGGTGTGCTGGACGTCCAGAGCTCGTAGTTGGAACTCGAGACGCTGCTGTCGTAGCCAAGGCCAATCGAAGTCAGAGGCGTCGCTTGTCCTTGTGCATTGGTGTAGTATAGAGTGACCTTTTTGTTATAGGCGAGATTGTTGATGTACGCGCTCGTGTTCAGGGTGCCGCCGCAGTAGCTGAAGTCCTTGAGCACGACATTACCGCTCGAAGGAGTCGAAGCCTGCAGCGTGGTAGTGTTGCAACTCTGCGCGTACACGCCGCTGAGCAGGACGACGCCCACAGCGACGCCAGCTTGTATCCGGCCCATGGCGGTATGTATGTATAGGGCAGCTCGAAGAAGAATGCTAGGAACGACAGACTGGGGGGAGAGGGGACGGACAAGAAGGAGGAATCGCAAAGAACGGCGACCCTCCCAAATTAATATACCTCCTACCAATAATGCCTTCAAAGGCCGCGTGGTACACTCATCAAGGCAAGTGCAAACGTCCACTCTGCGATTCGCGGACCAGACAAGGAGCCAGTGGCGCTCTTGCGTGTTGCATGTAAACGTCTCCATCCTCTGTGCCAAAGGAGAAGGGATTCGCGCTTTGCGTCGGGACGGACGGCTCCAGATCGGCAGTGGAGAACGATGGAAGGGTCTTTTGCATGTGATGATGGCTTGGAGATGGACATGTCTCCATAGGACGTATCTTTCTTCCTGGTGGTGATTGTATTTTCAGACGACGGGTGTTTCCTCCTTCTTATGAGAGTGGTTTCCGTCGTCGCAAGACATTTATAGGGCAGCGAACCACTTTCGCCAAACGCCGATCTGGGTAAATTGGAAGTGCTGATCCGCTAGCCAACCAAAACGTCTGCCACGCCTGGACTTCAGCTGCCTCTTCTGGTCGTGTGATGCCCGGATCGATTTTGATCGCGGGATTGATGCGGCGAGACACAGATCTTAATCAATACGACTCTCCATTCGACTCAGTATGTCCAGCCCATCTACTTCCTCTCCTTCTGCTGCTTAATGTACAGAGCCACCGCCTCCGGCAAAGTAATTTTTGGCATCTTCACAAAATCCTCCAAAATCGGCCCTTTACCCGCCTTTGCAAAATCCGTGCCATACTCCTCCACCAGAATCTGCGCCGTAACAGTCGTAAGCACTGCAGGGATATCCGTCTCGCCAGAATCCGCCCATTTCTTATGCGCCTCCTCGATAGCTTTCGTGCCAACGACGGGCTCCAGCTCGGTGTATTTGACGCCTTGCTGCTTCTCGAGCTCGGCGACGATTTCGCGCTGCGAGGCGGTCAGAGGGTTGAGGAAGATGCGTTTGTTCCTGGTTTCGGAGGCGTGTTTGATGCTTTCGACTACGCCGAGGGCGGAGTAGGGGAGCGTGGAGACGGTTGGAGTGTGCGTGCCATTATCCCAGTAGGCAACGTCGTGCTTGACGGTGTCGATGCCGATGAAGACGACGTCGAGGGCCCTTGGGAGACAGTCAGCTGGCGCAAGAAGCAGTAGGGGAAGTTCTTTTCTCACCACTCAAGCCAGATACTCGTAGCGACAGCAGTCCAGCTGAAGCTTGGATTCTCCCTGGCCTTTGCATTCAGATGATGTTCTACATTCTGCTTGATTTTGAAAGCTGGAACAAGCCACGCCGTTTTCTCGTCCATGTTGTCGAATCCATACTCTGATGGGAGGAATCTCTTGACACCAGCTTCGACGGCCGCGTCAATGACTTGGATCTGGAGTGGCAAGGCGCCGCCTCGAAGACCGACAGCTGAGATCACGACGTCCTGTGCTTGAATGAGTACATGTATGTTGCCAATTTCTAGTTCATTTGCTACGCACCTGACCCTTCATCGCTGCCACGAGCTGATCGTGAGGTAGATCGTCATCGACGCGGACGTTCTTGACCGAGCCTGGGTAGGTCGATTGAGAGCTCTTGCGAGAGAGGGTAGAAACGTTGAAGCCGCCCTCTTCGATGAAGGCGTCCATGATGAAGCGACCGATGTTGCTCCCACCCGCGCCAAAGATCATGATGTTCTTGAGTTCCGACATGGCTGCTGCTGCTGGTACTGAAGTGTTGGGAATGTGGGAGTTGATTTGATGCTTAAGCTGAATGCTGCGGATTGTGTCTCTAGCTGTTCATTGTCGACTCTGGGGCTTTATAGTCATTTCCTCGCGTCTATCCTATTTCTCTGCTTCTGTATCTTCGTAGCTTTCGTAAGCCGTCGTTACAATAGCATTGAGATCCAGCGTTCTATCTAGTATGAGTGATCTTGCAATGGCAGCTGACAAAATGAAGCCTAGGTCGTCCGTTGTCCGTTTCCGGAAATTTTGAAGCTGGCTGGCGAATTCAAAGTTGTGCGCTGCGTGAGATCTAGCTCAGATAGAACCTCTTCTTCACACGTGTGCAGGGAACTGCGCGACACTGCAAAGCGGGTGAAAGTGGACGATTGAGCGAGAATTGCTGAGCAATGGCCATTTCCATGAAACTGTGAATACCACCTCACTTCGAGGTTTCACGTTCGACAGGTCGACCGCAGTCGATCGCAGAGCCAGACCGTTTCGTCCAGAAGTAACATGAGCAGCTTTACAAACGCCGCGATGTCCTCGGTTTGGAATTTTATTCATCACTGCAAGTCAAGAGCTGGCTTTCTCCAGAAAGTGGTCGACGGTTCTGAACTGTTCAAAGCTCGCTCTTGCCATCTGCTGCAGCCTTAGCCCGCTCTTCGATATGCTTCAGGAGCCCTTTTCCCATTCTCGACACCTGCTCATATGCCACCTCGAACCCCTCTCTTCCTCCATCATACCAAGGATCCACAATCTCTTCCTTCTTGTTCTTTCCACCGAACTCGCCATACATGTACACCTTGTCCAGCGCATCACTTCCCAGACTACCCTTATTTTGCGCTCTTTTGACCGAATCCCGCAGATCGATATAGTTGTTCTCATCCATGGCCAGCAGGTAGTCGAAACGCTCGAAATCCTCAGGCACCTTCACTCGTCTAGCCTTGTGCTTGTAGTTCGTCAAGCCATTGTCCTCCAAGACAGACAGCGTTCGGGAGTCTGGTCTATCACCGGCGTGATAAGCACCGGTTCCACAGGAGTCGACCTCCTTGATCAATGGATGCTGCTTGGAAGTGCCGAAGTCCGTGAGATGCCGGAACACGCCCTCCGCCATTGGCGAGCGGCAGATGTTTCCCAGACATACGAACAGGACGGATACCTGACCCGCCTGGGCGGAGTCTGATGCCATGACGAAAGGCCGAATCAAGACACGAAATGTAGCAGTTCGGCTGTTCAGTACCGAGCAGATCCTCTCTGAGGCTCGGTTTGAGATGGCGACGAGTGTGGCAAGATGTGGTTGGATTCAACAGAAAGACATCGGTTCGACCGATGCCAAGCATCAACCCATGTCTTGCCCTTCACTTCCGACAGCCACACACGTGACGCACAGCCACACACCTATTCCCTCGGTTTTCTTTAGAAGACCCACTTTGAAATGGCGAGGGTGAGGCAGCAGAATTCGGTTGATAGGCGGGCAAGGTAAACCATTGCGCGTAAGGTCGGAGATATCTCATGGCTTATGCTACAGGCTCTGGCAAGAATGATATGAACCCCTGCTAGTTTCTCAGCCTTTATCTAGCTATATATGGAAGAATAAGTGGGTCACCACTTTGTATAGCCTCCTTTAGTATCGATTACTGCCTAATATCTTTCCCTAATACTCTAGTAGATCCTTAATATATTAGATGTCGATAGCTTTATCTATTTAGTCTATATAGCCTAAATAACCTCTACCCTTATTATAGGGAAATAAAGCCTAACCCTATACTTTAAAAGACTCTAAAGATTCTTAATTAGATTAAGATCTAGTAAGTTTACTAGCTATATAAGGAGCTGTATATAATAGTCCTTAAATAAGGCTAATATAGCCTTAGCCTTGTAAATAGATACGTTATCTTATATTACTAAAGACTACTATTAGAAGAT